ATTGAGGCGCGCAAGCCATCACACCACGTCAAGGTGCAGTCTCGTCATGATGGCTGTTGGTGTTAACTTCCTTCATCTTTCTACGGAGGCAGGGCTAGAGTTACAAATAACTCTTTCTGCTTGCACAGTTCAGGCTTCCAATCCGGTTCGAATTAGTGACCTTTGGCCTTCGTATTGACTGATTTCCATTCCCTAACTGTGTTCCCTTGTCCCGAAACCTGACACTCTTTTAATCAAACGTGATCTCAAAGTACGTACACAGCTGATGAGATTATCAAGAAATAGTTGAATTCAACACGTACTGTGATCCTGATGCTTCCTCCGGTTCTCATGGAAATGTTAAAGGGAACTGGTTGCATGATATACATATATATCTCTTAAAATTGGAGGTAAACGGTCAGTACGTGGTTGTACCAGTGCAGAAGGACCACAAACGCTAGCCAGATGCCCTCTAATAGGAAATACTGTAATTGGAATCATTGCTTCAGATAGGGCAAACATACGTGCGGCATCACCCAGCCCGGTAAACAACCGAGTCCTTGTGAGCATCTTCATCCTACTTCCACCCCAAAGGTTTTGTATTTCGTTGCACGAATATACCGCGGATTGCATAGGAGGAGATTCAGTGGATCGATCCATATACAACTGAGCCAATACATGGCGCACCCGAGGTAATCGTTGCGTTGGTCGGTAAGAGGCTAGGAAGTGACAGGAACCAGGAACAAGGCTAAGAGATGCCAAACTGCCCTCTAGTGGAAGACTATGCGGTCGATATGATGGACACTGGGCAAACGGATGAGGAGCGGGAGGGTTGGAATTTGTTCCGAACAGGTCTGGAGACTGACGACCTGATCCAGGCGGATGAGCTTCAGAATTATCTCCGGCGAATGGAGGTGTTCGGGATGGTCCATCAGAAGCGGAATTTGCAGAATCTTCGGACAAGAAAGTAACCTGCAGATGAGAGAGAGTATAGACAGATTATGGAATTGCGTAGTTTTCATTTTATCGATGAATATATTTAGTAACCCACCTTTCTCAGAACTTTATTACAGTCTATTTGACCATTACGGTAACAGGATAAAAATAGATTATCGGTGTTCCAAAACTGCTGTCTACGCCGCATTGCATAAACTAGTAGGGAAACCGGACAAGCAACGTCGAGATTAGGCTGAGTTTTAGGTAATCGCGATCGTCCACTGGAACAAGTAGTCGACCTCCATAGACTACGTTGTTTGGAATATGTGTTGCGCGTCACCAAATAGGTTGTCACGGCGAGTGGTTTGCCGGGGCGGATAGTGGGTGGAATAAAGTCAAGGGTGGTCAAACTAAGACCTGACATGAGGGTATGAAAACCCTAACCAGAGGATTGGGTCATATAGGTCCCGTTAGGCTCCCTGGCTGGGGACCCAGAGATCATGGTCACCGATGGTTAGAGACACCGAGCGATATGGCCGGGTATCGCAGTGGTGCTCATGCATCTATTCATTATTCTTGCAACATCAGTCTATATGAATTTTGTCTTCTCTTTGATCTGTTGAAAAACTGATAAATGACAAGTGTGATGTAGCCCCGAATTTCCGCTTTCAATTTAAGTGAATAAACAGCTAGTGACTCTTAAAAAGTCTACTAAAACAGTCGCATGAAGCTTTTTGGGCTTTCGTTGCGTATGCAACACTCGAGTGAATTACATTCTGCAATGCCGGATAGAAACTAATTACATAGCAGATTTCAATATGAAAACGACATCCATCAAACTTGAAAGGCCTAGGAAGAAAACAAAGGACAGACTAAGACGTTCTATTACTGTTTTCAGCATGCGCTTTGCAACTTAGAAGTGAAAAATGATGCTGCAAGACTTGGTACCAACTAAACTTGATTTGAAACTAGATTGTCAGGAATTAAAAAGAGCTGATTGCTTCTCATGCACATGTATTCCTGAGGTTCGATTAGCGTATTCAGGACTGAAACACCTTTGGTGTAGACGTGACCATTTACTAAAGTTGAAGCGCTGTGTGACACATTGTGGTCAGATCTGCCGTTCTGATTTACGAACTTGAATTTGCGAGAAGAAGATCTCCATCGACTAGGAGCTTTGGACCACCGGTGTTTACGTAATTTACCGCAGGTAGGATAGAGAACTGCTAAGTAACTCTGAGGTAAGCGAGTGTGTCTATCCATGCTCCGGTGAACAATTGCTATCACATCGAATTTGAATGCGTACGCTTCGATGGTCAAGACACACTTTGCGCATGCCCAGCTGTCGTCTGTCGCACCGTGCCTTATTCGCACTAGCTGCTTCAGATTAGAGAAAATCATGTGAAGGTAAAGAAATGATGTGTAAGGGAAGCATGGAGAGCGCTTAGGAAGGGTAAATGTCTTCTGTGAAACTGGGGTTCAAAACATTCTGTAACTGGTTGGGAGGAAACACCGAAGGCAGCCTACCGGCAACAGTGATGTTCTTCGTGTCATTTCTTATCAAGTCAAAATGCTTGAACATATGTGTATGCATTGTTTACTCTGTACGTTGACCGCGCAGGTTCACCTTCCTCTCACATCCATCAAAAGAGGTGAACCTCTGTTCGCATTTGTACTTATTTTGGGTACGTTGCCAGTGTGGCAGCGATCACTACATTTTGCTTCATTATATTTCGCAGTGAGGATAAGTATAGGAACATAGCAGGATTTATTCTGGACAATTTCGTTGCATCTCAACCGGTGCCTGATGCAAACAATGCACACAATGGAATAAATGTGGAAGGTTGGAGTGGTGTGGATTCAAAAATGATGAAACAGATCTGGAAGCAACGAGCCACCATAGCAAATTTAGACAGGTTTATTTTAAATTTATCACTGGAAAGATCTATACTGCTCAATAATATTCCGGTTTTATTCACGAAGATGAACGGACAAAAGAGAAGGGCAATGGTGACAAAAGGCTTTCGGAATCCTTAACAGTTGATCAAACAAGTGTCACTTGAATGCAAAGGACAATCGTCGATGTGTTTTAGCAGCAAAGTTTGGTGATTGTTTTTGCTCAACTTGACCATGAGTGAGTGCTCCCAATGCACGTGGGCGGGAAGTATTTTCTACCAATGCGATTGAAGACATTTAATTCGACGAGTATACTTCACGTGAAACGCCTGCACCTACCTTAGTTAATTGACCCACGAGCAGGCCACCACCGGGACAGTCGGGACGATCGTGATTAGGAGGCAAATACTGCAGACCGATGACTGGGGCTGCATTGTCCTGTACAGAGAGAGTAGTGATCGGACCGGAAGTCACACGCACATCAAACATTAAAACCGCACCATTTGAACATCCTGCGAAAAATCGATGGGGTTCCGGTGAGGCCCAGCAACAGCTCCAAACCGGGGCTGAACACTGATAGGTCTGGACCACCTGATAAGAAGAGGGGTATAGTGACGTCGTTTATTCAAAGCGAACACCGTTATGATTAGGTGAATGGGTTCCAGGATAGAGAACTCACTTGATCCATCAGTAAGCTTGTCAGGCGAATAGACTTATCTAGACTGACAGAGCACAAAACTCCATCTTGTGCGTCAGGATGAAAGGAAATATCTCGGATGGGCTGAGAATGGAGATGTATGTATTTCAGTGGCCGCTGTTCAACGGAATTGATCTGCAATCAAACATATAAACCGCAACGACTATTGTGAGAAATGCAGATATAAACGAACTAAAACACATCCCACGAAGGAAAGTAAAGTAAATAAAACAATCTAGGACAACATCAGTAAGATAGTACTTGAACCGAAAGCAAATAAACTACTTGGATTTTCGGCTACTCGAAAAATGGATGTGGTGATCAACTCAGTTTGGAATGGAAATAGAGCCTCTACCCAAGAGCAATGCTGAGGTCTGGTACAAAGTTTTAGGAAACCGCGGTCACCCACGGGTGCAAATGGTCGACCTCCATAGATTACTTTGGTTGGGGTATGTGTACGCATGTCACCAAATAGGTTGTGACGGCGAGCGATGTGTGCCGAGGCCGATAGTGGGTGGAATAAAGCCAAGACTTGGCATGAGGACATGAAAACCCTAACCAGCAGACTGGGTCACACGGGGCCCGTTAGGTTCCCTGGCTAGGGACCTCGAGATGATCGTAACCGATGGTTGGAGACACGAAGTGAAATGGTTGCTTGTCGTGAACAGTGGCATTCGTGCATCTCAATTTCCTTGCAACATGAGTCCACTGAACTTCTCAATTTTCTATTCGATCCTACTCTCAACCTTCCTGTTTTCCTCCCATTGTTCACCCAAATCGGCCGCAAAGAGACAGCAACCAAAAGCGACGCATGGAAGTGCATGCTTAAAGGTTGTTTAAACTGCACTGAACTGATCCACTACTAAGGCCCTTAATTGTAATATTAAAAAGTTCAAACACCGATGCAGGCCATTGACAATTCAACAGTAACGCACATCAGCTTCGACCTTGCAACCTCAGTGAAACAGTTTTTCCAGTTTCGCGAAGGGTGCTGGAGCCCTGCATGTCAGTATGCCTCTCCCCCGCCTTTCCCTCTTTTCTCCAAACTTCACTTACTCTTAAAAGAAGTAATGGACTAAATTAAACATCTGGTGACCTAGTTTCAATAACGGCGTCATCATCAACCGGTTGTTTTCGTCTCATTACAAAGGAGAAAAAGTGCGCTATTCTCACGATCCATAAGGTCGAACGAATGAACGATGGTGTCCGTGTACTTCAGATAGCATAGCGTTTCTCCGTTTAACACCAGCATTTAAGATAACAAGTTGGCGCATACCTATGGTCATATCCTGATTTTGTGTGCCCTTCGGTTACCTGGACTTCAAATCACACTAACCTCAAAGAAATTCATACCGAAGACGCACATTCGCTGTGGTCAACTTGTGTTAAAACAACTACAAAGGGTATTTGTTGTGGTTCTGAGTAGAAATTCAATCTACGCGAATGCATTTATTCGACCACAACGAACATCTCCCTCTCGTGCTCGCCGTCATCAAACAAAGAGAACTATTGTCCCGGGGGAGAGATAGCACTCATAGGCAAATGAAACGCCCGTCAGAAGAAACCCCAATTTTTCGCATAGATATTTTTCTATTGCCAATGAACACGATATTATAAATAGCAACATAATGCTACCATATATATATATATACACTAAAAAACTACAGCACAATGTTTATAAAAAGAAAAAAGTCCATGATTTGCTCCTGAGCGTGATACTGCTAGGTTGCCCAGACCAAAGTAGGTGAATTTTCTTGGGGAATTTACAATTTCAATTAGCCAAAGCCTGATCCACAAGGGTCCGTACTCGGTCCCCGTCTGTTCCTCGCCTTCGTAAATG